CACCTTGTTATCTCAAGCTCATGTTAAACTTTTGTTGATCACTGAGCCTCAAATAGAGTATTGTGCATACTTCTGGAAACCATAATTTAGAGTGGATATCAAAGTCCTGTGAGGGTACAGAGAAGGTTTTCAGTCTGGTCCTAAAGCTCAGGGCATTTGGGTATTTGGAGACACTGAGATCATTTTTTTCCCCAAGTTGTCGGGGATTTTGTTAGAGCAACTAAGGAGAAACCATTCCTTCATTAAGATGATTATAGATTTAATATAATTGGCAAAGAGATTAGAGGAACTTCTTCACTGCTGTTGTTAAGACCTGGAATGCACTACCTCTAAGAGTGGTACTTGAATGGTACTAATTTTCAGAGTTATAGGGTAAAAGCTGGGGTTTGGGACTGAATTGGATATGTCTCTGAAAGAGCTAATACAGGTGTAACAAGCCAAACAGCTACCTCATGTGTTGTCAGATTCTACACAAAATGAGCTTGATGTGTTGTCTTATGTTTGTATAGATACATTGTATGGTTACTACTCGGTGTCATTTTTTATTCAAGAACTGGTTTTGCGAGCAACACAGATATCCCATGGAGAATTAAAGAAAAGTCACAGAAATACACATGGTATTTTACGGTGCAGAAGGTTACCACTATATCTGCACTGGCTATACAATAGAACATCATTACCTACTGGCAATCTCCTGCTTTTTCTCCATACTCTTGCACCTCATTTCTATCCAAATCATCGTCCAATAGCCTCTTGAATGCCTCAATTGAACCAAGCAGTGCATTCCATATCCTAATCAATCGAGAACACACATGTTAAAGTTGATTGACTAACTTAGTTTAATGAATGAACACAATTTTTATTTAACATCAAAATAATTTCATATGATTCACATTGTGTTATGAACTGTTCAGTGCATTGAATAGTGATTTTTCCAAGTACAATTCTCAAAGCTTGCGCAGATTAATAACCAACAAAATCTTGATGATGACAGGTAAAAAGTATTAAAGATGAAAGCAAATGGTACCATCTTCACCCTGCTATATGTTTCATCACTTTCTGTCAAGCTTTTCAGTCTAGAAGGGAAAAGTATATGGTATACAACTCTGAAATAATCCTTGGTGGACTGATAAATGCTGCTTTTTAGCTAACATACTTTAAAAATATTTCTTCTACACTGACTGCTGATGAGACACTCATCGCCTGCCACGAATTCAACTCAGAGATCAAATTTTGAAAATTACAGTTCAAACTTTTGAGGTGGAAAGTGAACAGAAAAGTGAGAATATTTTTAGACACAGATGCTGTAAAAATGGCAGAGGACATCAATCACTCCTGCTCCTCGTTTGAGATCATCATGTCTCATGACTTTAGAATGGATGGTTGTATTTGTGGCACTCTGGTTGACATGCAAATTTGTACTTATATGCTAGTCCAGTCTTCTGTTGAACCACTTTTACTTGTTGTACTATTGAGGCCATATAACGACACGTAAAATGTCATTCTTGAAGTCAAAAGGTTATTTTCCAATCCTTCTAAGTAAATATTAACTGGTACTAATCTCAATATTATGCCCTCCCCCAGTTACCATTATCACTTGAAGTGAGGTTAGCAATAAGATTTGTGATGGTAAGAAGAAAAATGCATTAGTATGAATAGAATTTCTAAGAAAAAACTGTGCTATTCTTTTTGGGGCCTAAAAAAATCCAGTTTCATCTTAGAGTTGACTTTTGCGTTCCACTAATAACATTCTTAGAACTTTGGAGTTCAAGCAGTTGTATTAGGCCAGAATTTGGTAGCTCAAGTAAGGAAATGTTCTGAGTTGGCAAACCTTATTTAAAAAGTTAAACATTAAACATAATGTGTTCTGAACTGTAGGTACAGTATGAAGTCATGCCTGCCAACCCTGGAGTGTTGATAGCTACAGGAATGGGCAATTGCAGAGATGGTCTAATTTGAATGCCAGCCTCAGTTCTGGGACTGCATCCCAGTAGTTTCTGAAGATTTTAGCCTTTTATCCTTCATGCTCCCTCAGCCAACTCATGTTATTATGTTACTCCTCAAAGCCTTTCATACTGCCTGTGGTAAGTCATCTGGTTCATGCCCATTCCATGCCTTTTCACCCATTACTGTCTATGTATCGAACCAATGGGACTTTTAATAACACTGGCAAGGAACTGCTGAGAGAGATTAAAACACCAATTCACAAATCATCTTTAAAAAAGAAGGGACTGTGTTAATCAGACAGGCCATTAAACTAGCAATAACAGATATCACATATCTGTTAATCTTCCAAACATTGAGGTATTGACAAAAGAGATCACAGAAAGAACAGCAGATTATAACTCCTTGAGAAAGTCAATCAAGCAAAGTCGTCAGTTCACTTCATATTTCAGAACAGAACCCCTGCTGGAATAATGTTTTTATTGGTCTGGGTTCTTGCCAAGTTCATGATGCATGACTCTGAAAATCCAGACCCTTGTGTCCAAGTATCTCGACAATGTTTCGTTTTGTTCCTAGTTAGGATTCCTTATATGATTCTAATTATTGTTGATCATTCTTTGAATATTTAACTTGGTGAAGCACTGAGGGTGTGCTGTATTATCAGATGTGACATTGTTTGGATAAAATCTTAAAATAAGCTCTCCCAATCACATGGCTCTAAAGAGTGCTCTGTGTCTTAACCAATAATTATTCTTTTTTGTTAGCGTGTGAGGTATGGGTGTCACTGACTAGGTGGGGGCACTTATTGCTCATCACTAATGGCCCTGGAGAAGCTGCTCATGAGCTGTCTTTTTGAACTGCTGAAGTCTGTTGTCGGTTAGGTGCACCCATAGGATGGGATTTTGACCCAGGAACAGTTAGAATGCTGTGTGGCTTTTTGGGGAATCTGCAGGTAATGGTGTTCCCATATGGCATGGTGGCTCAGTGGTTAGCACTGCTGCCTCACAGTGCCAAAGAGCCGGGTTTGATTCCAGCGTCGGGCGATTATGTGGACTCTGCACATTCTCCCTGTGTCTGCGTGGATTTCCTCTGGATGCTCTGGTTTCCTCCCACAGCAGTCTAGAAATGTTCATATTAGGTGGATTGGCCACGCTGCATTACCCATAGTATCCAGGGATGTGTAAGCTAGGTGGATTAGCGGTGGGAAGTGCAGCGTTGCAGGGATGGGGTGGGATGTTCTTCAGAGGGTTGGTGTGGACTCGATGGGCTGAATGGCCTGCTTCCACATTATAGGGATTCTATGCATCTGTTTCCCTTGTATGTCTAGGTGGTGGAGGTGGCAGATTTGAAAAGTGATGATAAAGTGAAATCTTTGTTTCAGAGATAGTAGGAACTGCAGATGCTGGAGAATCCGAGATAACAAGGTGTAGAGCTGGATGAACACAGCAGGCCAAGCAGCATCAGAGGAGCAGGAAGGCTGATGTTTCGGGCCTAGACCTTTCTTCAGAAATGAGGGAGGGGAACAGGGTTCTGAAATAAATAGGGAAGAGAGGGGGAGGCGGATAGAAGATGGATAGAGGAGAAGATAGGTGGAGAGGAGACAGACAGGTCAAAGAGGCGGGGAGGGAGCCAGTAGAGGTGAGTGTAGGTGGGGAGGTAGGGAGGGGATAGGTCAGTCCAGGAAGGACGGACAGGTCAAGGGGGCGGGATGAGGTTAGTAGGTAGGAGATGGGGGTGGGGCTTGAGGTGGGAGGAAGGACAGGTTAGAGAGGCGGGGACGAGCTGGGCTGGTTTTGAGATGCGGTAGGGGGAGGGGAGATTTTGAAGCTTGTGAAGTCCACACTGATACCATTGGACTGCAGGGTTCCCAAGTGGAATATGAGTTGCAGTTGCTGTTCCTGCAACCTTCGGGTAGCATTGTTGTGGCACTGCAGGAGGCCCAGGATGGACATGTCGTCTGAGGAATGGGAGGGGGAGTTGAAATGGTTCGCGACTGGGAGGTGCAGTTGTTTAGTGCGAACTGAGCGCAGGTGTTCTGCAAAGCGGTCCCCGAGTCTCCGCTTGGTTTCCCCGATGTAGAGGAGGCCACAACGGGTACAGCGGATGCAGTATACCACATTAGCAGATGTGCAGGTGAACATCTGCTTGATGTGGAAAGTCTTCTTGGGGCCTGGGATGGGGGTGAGGGTGGAGGTATAGGGGTAGGTGTAGCACTTCCTGCGGTTGCAGGGAAAAGTGCCGGGAGTGGTGGGGCTGGAGGGGAGTGTGGAGCGGACAAGGGAGTCACAGAGAGAGTGGTCCCTCCTGAAAGCAGATAAGGGTGGGGAGGGAAAAAATATCTTTGGTGGTGGGGTCGGATTGCAAATGGCGGAAGTGTTGGAGGATGATGCGTTGGAGGATGATGCGTTGGATCCGGAGGTTGATGGGGTGGTACGGGAGGACGAGGGGGATGCTGCTTGGGCTGCTGTGTTCATCCAGCTCTACACCTTGTTATCTCTTTAAAAAAAAACCTTGATGTGTTACTGCAAAGCATCTTGTGGAAGGTATACAGTGCTGCCGTTGCACATCGGAGGTTAAGGAATGAATGTTGAAGGTGGTGAATGGGGTTCCAGGCTGCTGTGTCCTGGGTAGTGTCTAGCTTCCTGAGTGTTATTTGAGCTGCACTCATCCAGGCAAGTGGAGAGTATTCTATCACCTTCTTTTGCCTTGTAAGTCGTGATCAGACACTGGGGAGATAAGAGATTACTCACTACAGAAATAAGATCAACAAAAAAGAAGCTTATACTTACTTAATCTCCTTTGCTGACACAGAAAGCCTTTCATTCTGACTTAGAACAGTTCTTGGACAGTAAACATAACTAAGCACTGTTTTGATGTGTTAATTTCAAAGTATGTAATTTCTTCTAAATTCCAGATATACACACTTTTCTTTTACAAAATGGTTTTCATGTCCAATTCTGTGAATATTGGTTAAATTTTATGGACTGCCAACATTTGTACTATCACTTCCAGCAATTGAGTGACTAGTTTATTACTTTTTTTTGTCTCCTTCTTCAGTTTTTTTTCTCAACTACTGAAGTAGTTTTAAAGTTCATTTGCACGATGAAACTCTTAATAACTCAAGGCATCTATAGAAACTTTGCCTCTGGTTGGTTCTCTGGTAACAAAATCATATTAAATTCCCTTTCTATGTTGTTCTCCTCACCATAAAATTCCCTTCCATACAGTATTTGTGACTGCTGGTAACATTATAGTCTGGGTCAGAAATTGCTTTTGAGTGACACAATAGAACTCCAGCTCAGAATCTAGGCTGATGGTTCAGCTTAGTTCTGAGGGAGTCTTTTAACATTAGAGGTGTTGTTATTCACGTTCTATATTTGCTGGCTTGTGCATGTTGCAGATCTCATTCAGTAATTGAGCCAGTGAGATTATTGCCTTGATTACAGTAAAGTTGTTTCAGTCTTTCAGCTTGGATATCACTATTTATGTAATTTTGTATATGTAGTATCCATAGTAATAAACAGCTTGAAAATAAAATCTCCATGAAATTTAGAATGTAACTGTTTCCCCCTCGTTATGTACAACTGGAAGCAAAATTCAAGACTTGGTTCAGGATGCTGATGACAGAATGATGACTATTGCATTGCTTCTATTGAATTGTAATGGTTCCTGGATGCCTGGATAAATGTTTAATTACTTTCAAGAAGGCTTTGTACTATAGAAAATTTAGAAGTACAGAAATAACTTGGCTCTTTGTTATTTCAGGGGAGTCGAGGAGAGCTTCTCTTGTCATTATGCTACAACCCAACTGCCAATACAATCACTGTGAACATTATAAAGGCAAGGAATCTGAAAGCCATGGACATAGGAGGTACATCAGGTGGGTGCAAACATATTTACATTGTGCATTATGTATTAACTTGAATAGGAAGTAGAATGTATTGGTCCATTGAGAACAATTGTTGTATGCTGTACTATAAGATGAGCTCAATTTCAACCCTTCATCACCAGTATAGGTTCAGAGGATGTACTTGCCAATAAGGTTTATGGTCTGTGTTCTTTGGATTGAATTTTACAGTTTCCAATGGTGAGAAACAAGGATCAGGAAGCATGTAGCTGGCTTGCTCCCATCCTGCCTCTTGATGAATTAAGTTAATTAAAGCCCAGCTGCCAGGAATTCCAGCCAGCTAGTGTTGGAAAGGGATTTCCACATCCAATTAGCCATTCAGGGCAGGATGTCCACTGGGAGAAAGGGGAGGCCAAGATGCAGGAGTCTGTTCCAGCCACTGATTAAAGGCCTCCTTCCCCTATTTCTCCCCCTTCCCCTTAATTGTTACATCACCCTATAAAAGCTGAACAAATAAAATCTACTAACAGTGCAATGCTTTCTGCTGCTACATGCAGCAATGGTGACATTTGCATGCCATTTCATCTGCTCTCACACCACCTCCTCACACCTGATGAAACTCACTCTCAAAGCTTTTCCTATGAAAATTGTAAAAATGTGGAGTGGGTGCTGAAACATTGTAATCAATTGGATTTTTTTTTTAAAACAAGCCTAATTATTAATTGTCTTTTTCTGAGGGGTGGGCAGCCTTCTGATTCCAGCACTCACTTCGTTTCTGTATTATCAGAGACTGGCGGGATGATAATGGATCACCATATTTTACATAAGCACTGCAGAAACAGGGGCTAGCTCATCTGATTTATGTTTGTCAAATCTGCTTCAATGCATTATAATGCAGCAAGCAATTTATTAGAATTAAAGGGATATTTCAAGTAAATGTGTATAGTTGATAAAGGTAAATATTTTCTCATCGTTGAGACAAATAGTTCACGTCCAACTCAGTTGGATGAAGTACGAACCATCTAACTGCAGTAAGGTTTCTCTTGCACTGTCACTACGATATGATAGAATGGATTGTTTTGAGGGTTAGGGCAGCAATAAGGCTAAAGCACAAGAAATGAAAGTAAATGGGAGGTGGCACTAGTTCAGATAGAGTGGAAATGGGGAAATACTCCTGCTTCAACAACAGAGGAACAGGATTAGGCCATTGAGCCCCTCGCCCTAAAAATTCACTTAGAACACGGCACAGTGGCTAGCACTGCTGCTTCACAGCGCCAGGGACCCGGGTTCAATTCCACCCTCGGGCGACTGTCTGTGTGGATTTCCTCTGGGTGCTCAAGTTTCCTCCCACAGTCCAAAGATGTGCAGGCTAGATGGATTGGCTATGCTAAATTGCCCGTAGTGTTCAGGGATGTGTAGATTAGGTGGGTTGGGGGATGCTTTGTGGGTCGGTGTGGACTTGTTGGGCTGAAGGGCCTGTTTCTACACTGTAGGGATTCTATGATTTTATGAACATGGCAGACCTACATCTGAGCTTTATCCACGCACCTTCTTCAAACCTTTAATGCTTTTACCAAACAAAAAGTTATCCATCTTATGACAGAAAAACATCAGTCAGAACTATGTACTGAGATACAGTGAAAAGTGTTGTTTTGCATGCTTTACAGGCAGATTATTCAATTTCTGTAGCTCGGGTTGTGGTTGACCTTGTTGGTTGGTGTGCCAAGCTTACTGGTTTTTGAAGTTTTCATACAAAGTACATCAGGGTAACCGAACAGAGTGCAGGATTCGGCATTACAGTCACAGAGAAAGAGGTCAAAATTAACATTTGAGAGGTCCGTTAAAAAGTCTGATAACAGCAGGGAAGAAGCTGTTCTTGAACCTGTAGGTAAACTTTTATATCCCGGGGAGGGAGGGGTCTTTAATTCTGTTGGTTGCTTTCCTGAGGCAGCTGGAAGTATAGATGGAGTCAACCGCTGGAAACCTGGCTTCCGAGATGGATTGGGCTGTGTTCATGACTCTCTGTAGTCTTAAGAGCAATTGCCATATCACACTGTGATGCATTCAGATAGGATGTTTTCAATGGTGCATCTATAAAAATTGCTAAGAGTCTTTGCGGACATGCTGAGGACATAGAGATGTTGTTGTGCTTTCTTGACCATCTCCACTTCAGCACCACTGATGTAGACTGGGGAGTGCTGTCCACTCTGCTTCCTGAAGCCAATGACCAGCTCCTTCGTTTTGCTGACTTTGATGGATTGAATCCTGTATTGTGTTTCATTGTTGTTTGAGATCCAACCCATAATGATGGTGTTGTCAGCAAACCTGTAAATAGAGTTGGGACAGAATTTTGCCACACAGTTGTGTGTATAGTAGGGGACTGACTACATAGGCTTGTGGGGCACTGGTTTTGAGGAGTATGGTGAAGGAATTGTTGACTATTCTTACTTGTTGCGGTCTGTGGGTCAGGAAGTCGAGGATCCAATTACAGAGGAAGGGGTCAAGCCGAGACATAGGTCTCGGAGTTTACAGCTGAGTTTGTTTGGAATTATGGTGTTGGATTTTTCATGTTAGTGTTGCTATAACATTAACACTGAATAGAGATGCTATATTATTGCCCATTATCTTGATAAATATTTTGGACCAATTTTTTTTGTGTCCTTTGTGGTTGGTCTTCCTTGCAGATCCATACGTCAAAGTTTGGCTCATGTACAAGGATAAGAAAGTGGAGAAGAAAAAGACAGTTGTGATGAAGAGGTGTTTAAACCCCATCTTCAATGAGAGTTTCGTGTTTGATGTACCGACAGAGATATTGCGAGAGACAACTATCATCATTACTGTGATGGACAAAGACAAACTGAGCAGGAATGATGTTATTGGAAAGGTTTGTACAAAATACTAATTGATGTAATCTATTACAAGATTACAATAGTGTTTCAAGATTCACTTCTCACAGGTGGTAAGTTTATCCAATGAGCTATTTCTTAGCCTGACAGTGAGATAGCCACTGATGTCCTGAACCAGTTTAATAGTCCATTTAATTTGTAGATTTTTTGGTTATAAATAGCAACATTATAGACTGTGGAGGACATTAATACCAAGACTCCAAACGAACATGGGAACTGAATACAGTCTCTAGAATCAAAAAGCACTTCCATCACCCCATTATCAAACAAAAAATCCCTGTCTTATCATCATTTAAAAACATTGTTTGATGACACTGTATTTATAGCTCTCCAGTGAGATCCTGTTAAAAAACCAAAAAGAGTTTCAGATCACTGGTGACAATGCATTTTCTCCTTGGCTTTCTATAGACTTTCATCTTGTTGACCATCTGTCCTTCAACATAGTGAGGTTCTCCTCACTTTGTCCCATGGTTAGTTGCATTGTGTACCTACACCATTGGAGCCAAAGAAGTTGCTATAAACTTTTGTATCCATCCCCTCACTGTTACCTCTGGAGACTTCTAGGGATCTGTCCTTTAGTTATTCGCTGCCCCTTTATGAGATAATTCAAAGAAATGAATAATCTTCGACGTGTGCATTGATGAAGTTGAGCTCTACCTCTCTACTATCTCACTCCTCCTCTCCATTGCCTCTGTCACACTACAAGCCAGGTCTTCAATGAGCCACCATTAACTCAAGTTCAACATCGAGAAGAACATCCCCTCTCCTGCTACTGTCTTTGGCTAAACTGGTCTATTTGCAAACTTATCATCCTATCTGAGCTTCTGAACCTGTACAAAAATGCATAATTCTACATCTACCTCTGCCTTAATTCATCTGCCATTGAAACTCTGATGCATTTGTCACCTGCAAATTCGTCAGTGTTGTCCATGACAGCCTCCCATCCACTATCACCAATACATTTCAATTATCCCTAAAACAGATGTACTACCCTCTCCTCTTAAGCAACACCATATGAGAAAGTTACAGCATAATGTCTCTAAGATCCATTTCAGTAATATTAGTTGAGGGTAATTGTTGGCCAGAGAACTGGGAGTGATGCTTTGCTTTTCATTTAATAGTACCACACGAGAAGGCAAAAGCCTCAAATAGCACCTCATAAAGCACTTGTACAGATTATGTTAATGCTTGGAACCCACAATCTTCTGACTCAGTGTGGAAGCTAGGCTCCAAGCATTCACAACAATATTAAAATCCCTTAATTGAAAGAGAGAGCGTGAGAGCAGGCAGTTAGGAGATGATGGAACTCCAAGATTGACAGGAAATTATGGCTTTCCAATTAAAAGTATGTGAGATTAGAAGCCTGTACATAGGATTGAAGAAAATCCTTATCGGTACTTGTTTGGTTTTTAAAATAATGTTATTTTCTAAAGGTCAACCTTTGGTTTATTGAGAAAAGAGGGATATGCTGTATGGAAATATTGTTGATGTGATGATTTAGCAAAAGCATGTTTTCATGTAATATATATAAAGTATGAACAGAAATTGCTGGAGAAACCTGGCAGGTTTCAGAGTTAATGTTTTGAGTCTGATAGGACTCTTCGTTAGAACAGAAGGAACTGGAAATTATGGTTTTCATGCTGTTAACAAATGAGAAAGAGGAGCAAGTGGAACAGATGATGAAAGTGCCCAGAGCAAAAGACAGTGGGTGTGCTAATGGTGGTAAAGGAGTGAATGAGTTATAAAATAGCTGTGAATAGTTTTGAAAAGGAGAAAAGAGGTCAGTACTGCTGACTGACAGCAAAGCCAACAAGGCACAAACATGACACATGGATGAGGGAAGGGGGATTATATGAGCAATCAAACTGAAGGACAGTGTTCCTACTCTGAAGATGTTGAACTCAATGTTGAGTTCTGAAGTTTTCAAGGTGCCTCAGCGGAAAATGAAATATTGTTCCTCCAGCTTGTGTTGAACTTTGTTGGAACATGGCCGTAGGCCTAGGATAGAAATATTGGCATGGGAACAAGACGATTTAATGAAATGGCAAGCAAACTCGGGTCATTCTAACAGACAGAGTTAAAGTGTTCCAACGAGGATAGTAGGCTGGATTGAAAGGTGTGCAAGTTGTGTTTGGGGCTGTGAGGAGGTAAAAGGGCAAGCCTCACCAATTCTGCAATTCCTTGGGTGGGTGAAAGTGTTAGGAGGGAACCATCAGTGGAAGAAAGGGGAAGATATGTTTGGTGGAGGCACTCTGTTGGAGGTGACAGAAATGGTTGAGGATGATTCCTTCAAGGCAGAGACTGATGGGGTGGAAAGTGAGGACAAGGGGAACCCTGTTCTCATTCTGGGAAAGAAGGATAGAGTGAGATCAGTCACAGTCCTGGAAACAACTACTTGATATTCAGCGGTAGGGTCATAGGAAGAAATGTATGGGAACTGATGCTCAGCCTTGCAAGGTATGTTTGGTAACAAAGTCAGGGTTAGACGTGAGAGGTTGGAGTGCAAGAAGTTCAGAGAGATACCAGTTAAGAGTCGGTGAGAGAAGCAGAGAAATTAATGTAGTTTGTGTCCTTTTAATGATCATAATGAAGTGAAGAGGCTAGAGGGAGGGTGAAAGAGACCATGGAGCAGAATTCTGTCCAGAGAAATGGATGCAGTGGCAAACGTGATGGAAGAAGAGTTCAGCATCAAGTTGTGGCCAAAATCTATTGAGGTGGAAGTTTAAAAGGATAAAAATAAGTTGTTGGGTGAGCACAGAATATTCAACATATAAGAGAGGAAGGCAAAGGGGATAAAGAATCCAGAAGGGCTGAGATATTTTGGAGCCAAAAGGAAAAGAAAAGGTTTCTTGTTAAAGCTTCTAACGAGACATGGAATGACATGGAACAGAGAATCAGGACAACTTTGAGGTAATGCTGATGAAGTGATGGGTCAAGAGTGTGCATGTGATGGCAGATAGCACTGAATTTGGATCTCAGGATGCAGCAGGAAATGCTGGCTGAGGACTGTTACTCATCTCAGAGGTATTTGTAATCCTGGATGGATTCAAAAAGTGAATGGGTGGAATTTCAGTTGGTATCCACTTTGTGTAAGGTGGAGCCAGAGAGAGTCATGGAGGAAGGAGATGTGGCAGATATTAGGAGGGAAACAGAAGAAACGTAAAAATGGAAATCCTGTCAGAGAAGGGCAGAACTTCTTCAAAGTGGGCATACCTGGAAGGTAAGTAACAATGAATTAAACACTCAAATAAAATCAAAATACTGCGGATGTTGAAAATCTCAAATTAAAATTGTCAATGCTGGAGACACTCAGCAGGTCTGGTAACATCCCTGGAAAGAGAAACAGAGTTATTGTTTTGAGTTCAAAGATGACTCTTTGGAAATTTTTGTATTTTCATGTCAAAATGCATAAAGCCTGGCCCCAAGTTGGGTGCAACGCTGACTACCATTTTACCAAATGGACTAACTTGGTGTATATCATCCATTAAATTCTCATCTGTCATACTATCACATGTTACCCACTTTGTTATTAATTCCTGAGTACAACATCTACAGTAAAAGATTAGAACTAAATAATGCTTTCCCTCCACAAAGTGAACATATTGAGTGTGAGTAGCTGCCTTTGAATGTATTTGTCCACTTTTTACTGATTCTTTATCATAGAAATTGACAAATGGTCTCGTATTTCTGTAGTGGAAGGCAGCTTAAGAGAATCTGTAACAGATACTAAATACCATTGGCACTTTCTCTAATCAAGAAACATCAATGGTGTTTGCCCAACTCTTTCCTTAAGTAGAAGGAATGTAGGTTGCACAGATGTTTAGCTATGTTATCAGAAAATGGGGATCAAACTTAAAAATATTAACAAATTACTTGCTGTTTAACAATGTCAACTTGATGCATGTCATTTTCTCTCCTCAGATATACTTGTCTTGGAAGAGTGGGCCTGGAGAAGTCAAGCATTGGAAGGATATGATTGGGCGGCCGCGACATGCTGTGGCTCAGTGGCACCAACTCAAGGCATGATTATTCACCAAACCAAAAAAGAGGGGAAAACATCTAATTAATCCTGACATTTTAAGTATGCACAATGAAGCACGTGGACTGAAATCACGGATCACTCAGTCAACACTCTGGGAGCCCAGCAGCCAATCCGTATGCCATGGACTGAATAGCATTGAGCTGCCAGCAACATTTTTTTTCAGCCAAGAGATCATATCAACCCAGTGCTTCAACATTACTCCCCTCCCCTCTTATAAATCCCCATATAATTTGGTAGTGGCACAATTCATTCTCTGTGTCTGAGGAGTCTGTGGCCAGTTGTCACGTGGCTTAGATTTTAGTTTTTATTTCATGTGACAAAAAAAACGAACCGTTCTTCCAGTGGTAAAGGAAGTTGCAGCATCGAAAAAAAAAGTATCTTTTTCTGGAATGAGCTGACATTCGTAGTATTCTGGTGCAGGTGTAGATGCTAACAGTTGTTTATTTATCTGAGTCAACATAATGAGAGGGAGGGAAAATGAGAAAAGCAGGAACTTAAAATCTGTCTGTGTTTGTAATTATAGAAAGTGTGTTTTTGTGCACACAATGTAAGTACTCAGCCATGCCCTTAATGTGTGGGTGATTTTCTCTGCACTTTTTAAAATGCACAGTTTGGTTATGCAAAATAAGATGTTAATGGATTTTGGATTTTTAGAGGTGGTTTTTAAGTGGACAGTGTCTGGTTTACTCAGTATTTTAACTTAGCTCTTCTTTATCCAGGGCTTACAGAACTACTATACCGCGGCAAGCGAAAATTCTATAGTTTTACATACAGTATTGGCCTGGAATTCCTAAAGAAAACTGACAGCAAATGTAAAATACAGTCAAATTTCTAAAAATCCTGTACAGTAACACTGTAGGTTACTTCCATGCAAACCCTGTGTAGTTTTGCATTATGGTTAGGTACATTTAAAATAATATTGTTGTGTGGTAAACAATATAGCTGCAGTTGGCATATTTGACACAGTTTAATTAGAGTGGAGGTTTTAAGGACATTGAACAGGCATCCGGTGTCCTTGATAAAGCCATTTTCTTGTCTCATTTAAAATCTGTTGCTAAATGAACTTCTCACAGTCAGATTAATAGTGGTAGGTTTAGAAATAAAACAAATTGTTCGAGAGAGACAGCAGGTCAGGTAGCATCTGTAGAGAAAAAAAAAGCAGTGAATGTTTCAAGTCCAGTGACCTTTCGTCAGAATGTTAACTCTATTTTCTCTCTACAGGCACTGCCAGATCTGCTGTGTTTCTCCATAGCGCTCTGTTTTGTTTCAGATTTTCATGATCCGCAGGTCTTTATGTTTTTTTTTGTTAAAGATTGAGACCCAGTTTTGCAACTAAGGGAATATAAGACTTGCATGAGAATGTGATATCTAGTATTACATCTTGTATTGAGATTGTTAGTGGTTAATTGCAACTTAAATATCTAGAGAGACAAACCAGCCTAGACAACAGAACAGCACAATAAAAGCCAAGACTGGAGAATTAAATAAGGTGATAGAACATGGGGTCACACCTACAGTTTCTCAGGTATTGTGTTCTCAGTATGAGCCATGTTATTATAGGGTGATGACAAGTTGGAGTCCCTTTGCTTAGCTACTATCAGCCTGGTGTCTGAGGTAAAGGTGATCTCCATTTTCCACTTGATTGTGTGAATTTTGTTTTCCTTAACATGAGTGTTTTAGTGCTGAGGAATGGAAATCATTTTCATTTTGGAAATCCAACGTCTTGTGTCATGAAGGTTCTAGTCGGCTACAATATTGTTAGACTGCAAGTAAATGTTCAATGTGTGTCGACAATGACCTTAGAAGAACACCCTAAACTGCGAGCAAAAAAATTATCCATAATTTGTGGAATCACATTGGCATGCTCCTTTTTGTGGACTTTCTATGGGTTTGCCAATTTGATGCCCCATATTATACAGAGTTTGTGCTATCATCCCATGCCAATAAGATAAAAATTGCCTAATCTCACTTCACATTGGACCCTTAAGCAAATATATTAGAGAGATTTCTATCTCTCTGACCTTTATTTCAATCCAGGACAATGATGAAGAACCAACATTTGACTGTCTGCATTACTCATTTTTCATTTTCACTCATTCCATTTAGTTGTGGTTTCCTATTTGCACATTTCTGAGATGGAATCTCAGCTATTGAATATGGGGAAAATGCAAGTATATAAACTAAACTCTATCTATCCATTCAATTTAATGGTCAGAAGATTCATGAGATGTGTTGTTATCATGTCCTGCTATGTGAATTTATAGGTAAGGAGTACACATGTAGAAAGCATTCTTGCTAGGTTCTTGACTTGCTTTAAACGTGATGTTGGCCACCTCAATCTATTAAAGTATCAAGTTTATTATGCTCTTCAATACTCTATCCAAATTCCAGTCAGCAATCTTACACTTTTTAATGTGCTATTTCTAGATGTCTATTTGAATTTATGCTTAGAAATAGATTTTACTAAAATGTAGAAAGCTGACCATGTACCCCAATTCTCACAACATAAGCTAACCTACCTCTCTCTTTTGGGAACTGGTAATTTAGCATAACACAGCTTTTTCTCACATTGTGTTTCAGACAGAGGGAAATGGACCAAGTAGCTAGAAAGCTAACACATCTGCTGGATAGATTCTAATTGTATCACTGGTCATCACTTCTAGCCATGTTTAACCTAGGCCAACCCAGTAGCATCCTGGGGAGGGAAGCAAAGATGCATGTTGATAAATCAACATTAACTAATACTCTGGGAAGATTTAGGAAAAGAATCTAGAAAGTTCATACAGACTAAAACAACGCATCTATCTGGTATTAGAGTTATAGATCTTCTCTCTACTTTGTCCAATGTTTGAATCATTCAGCTTGTCAAAAAGAATGACAAAAGCAACGAGTAATTCAACATACAGGGAAAGAGGAGAAATGTAGAAGAAATTCAGTCTATTGTATCCTAGCGTAAAGATAATTAAAGTGAAACCTTATTGAAGCGTAATAAAGCATCAATTTGGTTGTAGAATTTTCCTTCCCACCAAACAAATTAGATTGTAAAAGTCCCAAAGTATGTGTCTCTACTATTTACCCACTAGATTGATCCAAAAAATTATCTTTCTTTGTGTGCAAATTCCTGTATTATCTGTTTCAAAGTATTTTTTTCACTGATTTACATTTATGATCTTTCACTAAACTACTCTGGGGACCCAGGTTTGAATTCTGCCACAGCAGATGTTGGAATTTGAATTCAAATCTAAAATCTAGGATTAAGAGGTGAATGATGACCATAAAACCACTGTCAATTGTCAGAAAGAACCGTCTGGTTTGCGAATGTCCTTACCTGGTCTAGCCTACATCTGACTTCAGACCCACAGCAATAAATGCTGACCTAGCTGGTGACGCCTTGTCTTGTGAATGAATTTAAAAAAAATTCCCTCAACTAAGTCATCGGTATGATTCCTCGTCAATTATCTTCTGTCAAGGATTTAGAAATTAATTTTTAAACCCTTTCCTCCTATCTCATTCCCTATCTAAATCTGGAATAATTTTTATTGGCCTCATCTCCAGTGCTGCATTTTTCGATGTGCCAACAATGGTTATAGTTCTGTAATGCCCTATCAACAATAATACATTGAGTAAAGTGATAGTATATCAATAATCATTATAGTTACTCTTCAGGCTATTTTGGCATCAAATCAAAGGTTAATCTTGAGTGGTGAATCTTGACTGAACATTTTACGTCTACTGATAACTTCATATTTTGGAGATAGGCAGGCTTTGTCAAAATTCAGAAAGATGATTTGGGCAGATTTGAGTCACTTAGAAATTTTGTTCATCAATATATCTACAGCTTTTTAAGTTGTCGCATTTAAGATTTCAATGTTAAATATACTTTGAAAACAATTGCATTTTAATCGATATTGCATTGTCTTTAATCAATAGTACCTGATCCTACTTTGTAAACCAGACAAAAGTACTATATTAAATTATAATAAGATTGAAAAGGATGAGTTCAAGTGCTTGTACTAAGATGAAGAACATAAATTATGCACAGGTGCAGAAGCCCAACCAATTGATCCATTTCTTACAACAGACTCAGTATGGGCTCATTCCAATGTATTTGAAAAGACAATTTACTCAAAGAAGTGGGCAAAACATCCACAGAGAAAACTGTAATGATATTCTGGCCCTAATCGATTTTCAAAGGTGATATTCCCATGATCACAACTTGAATAGAACCGCTGTCTTTCTATATTGTATTCGATCATCTATGGTGACCACTTAAACATCAAATCCTATTCCTAGTCAAAAATTCATCTAACTGTCATTGTAAAGGTGCTGATCAATGCAGGCTGTCACCGAATGTAACTAGCTCCATTCTAGAAAACTGCTGCTCTGTTAGGGAATATACATTTTTCCATTCTGTTGATTTTGTTTTTAGTGTCTTTTTAATAGTAGACATTGTTGGTTCCTCCCCGACCCTCAACATTTTTACCCAATGAGAACCCATGCCTTCTCAGGGAAATTAATATGCCCTGGGTACATCAATCAAGCCTTGTCCTTTTAAAACCTTTATCTCATTTAGGTGATTTTTTTACAATGATTGCAGGTCTAAGTTTTGGTTTCTAGATTTTTTAGTTGTTTTTCTTTGTACCCTGTCTCCTGCATCAAGATTAATTTAAGGGAAGGATGATATAAATTTAACATTGTCTTCTGAATTCTTGCTAATGACTTGCAGGATTCAAATGACTTTCTTTGGCTGAAAGTCTGATGACAACTCGTTTGATGAAAAATTTTGAGGATGGTCAGTTGTACTTTTAAACCTTTTCTTTTCCACATTTGTGAATGAAAGTTTCCTTCACTTGTTCAGTGGACTGATGTCATTGTGCACTGACATTGGATCATTTTGATCAGTTGGTGTCAGGATTCATTACACAGGCGGAGTTTGCTGGTGTCACCTGGGACAGTACTGTTGCTACAAAATCTGTTATACAGATTTTCCAATGTAGCACCTGTACATTTTAATTCAAGTCCCAATCAAACATAAATCTGCATATCTGTGGTTTAAGAAATTGGCCCTCAAATCATTCCTCCAATTAGTACAAAGTGGCAGCAGAATTAAAATTTGAACGTTCTTGATGTTGGTATTGAATTTAGTCAGTCAATCTAGTTCAGTGTAAGTTTAATATATGTGGAAGTATGTAATATAAAACTGCAGCTGTAGGAATAGAAAAACAAACCATCTGTTTCAATTGATACTTTAGTCTCAATGTTATACTATGTACATATGCCCAATGGATTGCAACAGTACAAGAAAGCAGGGTGCCATTACCTTTATCAAGGGCAATTAGGGATTGGTAAAAATGCTGGCCTAGCCAATGAACCCAACATCATCTAAATGAATTAGCAAAAACATTTTGGTGACATACAGCAGTCTTGACTAATAAAATTGAGTCAGCAAAATTGCACAGGATTTATTTGGTATAGAATTCCTTAAGAACAGATGACATAATGACCATCATAATGGGGAAACATTAAATACTGCTACTATGCTGCTTTTTACTTCACAATGTCAACTAAATACTTTTCCTCATCACTTTAACTTCCTCCCAGTCCTGTCTTGTTTCAGAATGGCTTTGGCATAATTTGATGTACGTGTGGTTTAGTTTATCAATAATTACTGTTGGTATGTCCCCATTCCTTATACTGCCCTTGTTGTCCCTGGTGCAAAGGTCAGTACAATTTGCAGATTGTAAGTATGATCCAGCCCTGGCATTTGAAATTTTTTGTCTCTTTATCAAGTCTTTGAATGTTTAATTTCTGAAGGTAAAAGCAAATTGTGGGCAATTGGAAGGCAAAATATGTAAATTTGAAAAAAATTTTGAGTGCTAATTTTTCCTCCCATCCTCCCTGGGCAAAATTAGTGAAGTATAGAAGAGAGGGAACAAAGGAATAGAATGCTATACTGTTAGAATTTGCCAAAGTAGGGTAGAGGCTATTGTGGAATATAAACACCAGCATAGACCACTTGCGCCGAATGGCCTGTTTTAGTGCAGTAAATTTTGTGCACGTCTGCATAATAACTTCCCTGTAGCCCAGAAATACATCTATATAGCACCTTTCATGAACTCAGGACATCGCAACAAAATGCTGTTGCAGTGTAGTTGTTGTTTATAAAATT